AGGTCCTGGGCCAGTAAGCAACTGCTGTCTCTGCTTACTGATTTTACGCCATTGTACAGGGGCACTGGCCCCCGTTGGCCCCTGTATAGAACCGCCCATGATCAATGCACACATTCAGCGACACACAGGAGCTCTTTCAATCTGGGCACCGTTTCACTCACAACACCTGTCCCATCAACCAGGAATCAGAATCAGGAATATTTTAATAATTCCAGGGAGAAATTACTTTCATTACATTAGAGTGACTATAGGACCAGTTTGATAGAACACAATATATATAATTAGGGGGTCCCCGCTCCATCTCCCCATCAGTTTGGGGGTCCTTGGCCTGGAAAACATTGAAATCACACATTTCCACCAGAGTTTTCCCATCTTTATTGTTTTAACTCACAGTTTCTATTTGCGTTTGGGACATAACAGTGTGAACAAGTGTTGCCACACTTCACAGATCCAGTGCAACCAAAGAAAGAGACTCTGCTCAGATGAAAGAGGCTGTAATGAGCTGCTTTCTGCTGGCAGCCTGGCATCTAATTCCATCCTTCAGTCAAACATATTTGATTTATTCAGCTGCTCAGAGACCCACCGGGCTGCCCGCCGCGACTTTCCCCTCGTTTCTTCAGCACACAGTGTTCCGTTAGGTCTGGAGTCAAACAGGGACACGGACCGGCTGAGGGATTAATACAGACACGCAGGGATCTGAATCAGTGTGACGCGGGGACGGCGTGACCGTGGGGGAGTCACCGTGGTGTTTTCACTGCTTATATAAACGTCATAACCAGAATGCTTTTTAAACACCGATGCGTTTGTCTCGCAAATTCCGCTACAAAGGCGTCACTCACTCGTTAGTTGTCGGCCAATAGACCCGGGACGCATTGACGGACCGTCGGAAAGTATAGCTTCACCCAACCAAAAAATAACATTTATTCTTCGTCATAAAAGGAGACGGTGAAGCATGTATTATCTAAAGCACGTAACTTTTTCCTTGGAGAAGCTTCTTATCTCTCATTCCGAGTTAAACACACTTTTTACTGTTAAAAAGATGTTTATTTAGAATGGAAAAGTGAATCACACAATAGAATAAAATAGAATACAATAGAAAAGAACAATTTTTACTGTCCCACAATGGGGAAATTCTGGTGTTTACAGCAGAAAAGATGAAAGAAAAACATGATATATGATTGATACTTCAACTTTTACCAGTGTTTTTTTAAAACTGCAGTATCTATACTTGTACTTCAGTAACAAATGTGCGTACTTTTGACACCACTGAACAGATTAAGCTTTCACAAGTGGAGCAGTATTGCTATCGCCATAGTGTTCAGCTTGATTTATGCATATAAATAGCTTTATTATGATTATGCAGGGAGTATTAAAGACTATATAGAAACTGCAATGTAAGAAGAACAGGGAAAAGGAAAAAGGAGAAAAGATGAAAGGAAGAAGAGATGAAAAGGAGACAATGATAAAACGTCTTCTGTCTGCTTCGTCAATTAAATTTGTAATACCCGAAAAAACTTAAAAACAATCCCCTGGACTTGGTTTCTGAGTGTGAAGACGTTTCGCTTCCCATCCAGGAAGGTTTTCAATTCAAAATGTCATGAATAGCGTTGAGTTCGAGGTTTTATACAGTAGCCCAGCAAAGGCTTGTTTTGGTTTAGAAAACATGCAAATTGGAACAGATGAAAGGGTATAACCATTTGGAACGGGGGTCGTTTATCTTCTTTTGTTAGACTGCAATACCCCATAGCCATCTAAGTGTCTGAAAGATGGTATGGGTTAGTGCAGTCTAACAAAGGAAGCCAAACGACCCCCGTTCCAAAGGGTGATGGGCTACTGCATAAAACCTCAAACTCAAAACTATTCATGACATTTTGAATTGAAAAAGAATCCTGGATGGGAAGCGAAACGTTTTCAAACTCCGAAAGCAAGTCCATTGGATAGTTTTTTTTACTTTTTTTTTTTTTTTTTTAATGAATATGACCTGGATGCAGAGATGGCAAAAGTACTCACTTTCCGTACTTGAGTAAAAGTACAGATACTTGTGTTAAAAAATACTCTGGTAAAAGTGGAAGTACTGATTAAACTTCTTTACTCAAGTAAAAATAACAAAGTACAGGCTTGTAAATTTACTTAAAGTATGAAAGTAAAAGTAGAAACCACTTTTTTCATGCCGTTGCCTACATTTTAAATGGATGTCTGCCAATAGGACTAGATCTCCGTTGTGTTCATTTTCAATCATCTCGTCGTCCATGCTACTATGCTAACGCCACCGCCACCAAGCTGCAATGATTTGCCGCGAATGAATACCGCCGAATCTGTCAATTCATCTTGTAGTGGTGCGTCAAATGCAACGTAGATTCCCATCCAATTAGATTGAATTTGGTATTGATGACGTGAAAAATAATAACGGTAACTCCATTGAAATGATTCAAAACTAAAGTAACAAGCCAATTTTTTAAAATGTAAGGAGTAGAAAGTACAGATATTTGTGTAAAAATGTAAGGAGTAGAAGTAAAAAGTCGCCATAAAAATAAGTAGTAAAGTAAAGTAAAAATATCAGAAAAATCTACTTGAGTACAGTAATGAAGTATTTGTACTTCGTTACTTCCCATCTCTGCCTGGATGTACGTAAGAGGATTAGGGGCACTGAAAGAAGAAGAAAAAAAAAAAAAGAGTTAACTGATTTTTATATTTTATTTCAGTTTAATATGGAAAAAAGTCTGAATTGTGACTTTAATCTCAGATTTCTGACTTGTTTCTCAGAATTCTGACTTTAATCTCAGAATACTGGATCTTAATGTAGATTGGCACCATGAAGGAAGAGATATGGGAGCAAAGATATCAGTTGTTTGGGAGGGCTAGTAACACATTTGTGAAAAATGACGAAATTAGGGGACTTTTTACGTGCCCGAGGGGGTCCCCAGTGATGCTATTTCATCAATGGAAGGGCAGAAGGTGAGTATGGAAGAGAATTAGGGCCACTGAAAAAAAAAAAAAAAGTTAAATGATTTTTTACATTTTATTTCAGTTTAATATCTGGGGGAATCAGAATTCTGCATTTAATCTCAGAATTCTGACTTTTTCCCCCTCAGAATTCCAACTTTAATCTCAGAATTCTGACTTTTTTAAATCAGAATTCTGACTTTAATCTCAGAATTTTGACTTTTTTCTTGGAATTCTGACTTTAATCTCAGAATTTTGACTTTAATCTCGGAATTGTGGATCTTAATGTAGATGGGCACCATGAAGGAAGAGATGTGGGAGCACTCAAACAGAAAAAAAAAAGTCAGTATTCTGACTTATTTCCCATATTAAACTGAAACGAAATTGAAATGCTAAATTTTTGGAGGAGAGAGAGAGGAAAAGAAGGCGTTGTTGATTGGAGTCTCAGGCAGGGAAGGCCTGTGATGAATTGGATTTGCATGTGGATGGTCGTTTGGTGCATGGCGCGTGTTTTGAAGCTGCTTATGGAGAAATGTCCTGGGCCGTGAGTAGTGAGGAAACAGGAAGCGATTCTTGTGGGATGGAAGAGGGAAATAGTGACAATGAAGGTTGGAAGATAGCAACACCAAAAAATGAGAAAAAGCGGAAAAAACAGAGATCAGTTCAAGGGGAATCTAGTTCAGAACAATCCAGTGATGATTATTCCATACATTCCACAGCACAACAAAATGAATTCAAAGTCATATTCAAAGTCGTTAATCAGGCAGACTCTTTTACAAATTGGAATCCGGTTCACTTAACAAAAACCATCAATAAACTTGTCGGAGAAGTCAAAGGTGCCAGAATTCTGTACAGTGGAGACCTGCTAATTAACTGCAGAGACAGCGCCCAGCAAGGCAAAGCAATACGGATCAACAAAATTGACGGGATAAGAGTTCAGTGCAGCTTAATGGAGAACAAAAAGATCAGCAGGGGAGTCATTGGAGGAGTTCCTCTAAAAATTTCTGAAAAAGAGATTCTGGAAAACATAAGCGGTGCAAAAGTAAAAGAAGTAAAACGGTTAAAAACAACAAGAAACGGAGAAAGATCTGACAGTTTATCTGTGCTAATTAAATTCGAAGAAGAGCAATTACCAAGCAAAGTATTCATCGGTTACATAAGCTATAATGTCAAAATCTACAATCCTCCACCATTGAGATGTTTCAAATGCCAAAAATTCGGTCACATTGCAGCAGTTTGTAAAGGGAAACAGAGGTGTGGAAGGTGTGCAGGAGAACATGAGTACGGAAAATGTGGAAAAGAAGCTAAAATAAAATGCTGTAATTGTGGTGGAGAACATACTGCTGCTTATCGCGGCTGTGAAGCAAGCAAAAGGTCTGAGGAAATTAAAAAAATGAAATTTGAGCTCGGAATAACCTACGCTGAAGCTGCAAAAAGGATCCCATCTCAGTCAGAAAAACCCAAACCTACAGTTCAACACACGGCAAATTCCAAACCTCTAGAGAAATCTCTAAAAATTGATGAAGACTCACTTATTGTTAAAAAGACAAATTTTGTTCTTTTCATGGTAGAAGTGATTAACTGTACTGCACAGACAACAAAAAAAACGGAAAAAATCAAAATAATAGTGAAGGCTGCAGAAAAATACCTGGACATTAAAGATTTGAACTGGGAGATGGTTGGAAGTATGATGGGAGGACCGATGGGACCATCAGAAACTGGCAGAGTTACGATGACCTAGAGTAAATTAAAATTATATGGGCAAATGTGATTTAGTATTATGTTGGTTTAAGTTACACAGGTTTTTTTTTTTTTTTTTTTTTTTTTTTTTTTTTTTTTTTTTTTTTTTTTTTTTTTTTTTGGGGGGGGTGAATCGTTTCCTGTTTTCTTGCTTTACTCCATATCAGTTGGTGGCGGTAATGCACAATTCACAAGTCTGCCAACCGCCATAAAATCCCATAAGAAGAAGAAGAAGAAGAAATGCTAAATTCCGAGCTTTCTGCTTAGCCCTGAACGCAGCCCAGTTGTGAGATCAGCTGATTTTTCACGCTGCCATTTTGTCCGGGCAGAGCAGCAGTCAGTCCGTGCGGAGAAACCTCCGAGGAGACTTCCCAGACAAGCGTCACCGGACCGTTGAAGGGAAGAAAACACCTGGCGCGGTGCTTTTAGCTTCTGGAGACCACAACCAACCGAAGCAGCGGACGCTTAAAGGGAAAGGACCGACTCCAAAGAGCTGACATTTTTATTCCAACTTACCGGCTCGGCTCGCTGTCTGTCCGGCTAATCTCTTTAGCTCCTCGGCTAGCTTCTCGCACCTTAAGGAGGAGGGGGAGAAACTGCGCTTGTCCGGACTGTCATCTCTGCAGTAACCTCTTCCAAACTTTAAACCATGCTCTCCTCGGTTCCTCCTTCCTTTTCCCCTCGGAGCGGGCTGCTAACAGACTCTTTCCCCGGCGAACAGTGATAGCTTTAACAGCCCAGCTCACAAGTTGACGTGGAGGAACAACTCCTTTTTTCTTTTCCCCCAAAAGCTCGGAATTCTCCATTTATTTTTTCATTCACACGGATTAATATACGTTTTCTGCCAAATCCGGACGCAGATTTATCTCTTTTTGTTGACTTGAGCCCAATAATCCAGGTTACAGAGTGTTAGCTATGTTTATTTGTGGCCAGAAAGTGATTTCAAGTGTTTCCAGATTCCACTGTGGGACTCTTTCCTGGTTCGAGTATTGCAACGGAAACATTAGCTAACACACACTAGCCCCAAAAACAGCTTCTGATTCACTTAATAATTAAAAGGAACAAACTTTTTATTATTATTCTTAATCCAGATTATCTTTTCTGCAAAGATAGACCGCTGATCGTGCAGGCAGATTGTTTTTCTTCCTGATCCGGAGCTCGTCTAGATTTCAAAGCTGCATTGTTTTTTGTTTTATTTTTTATTATTTTCTTGGGGTTGTTTTGTTTGAGCTGAAGGAAAAGCAAACATCAGCGATGTCTGGCCAGTCTATCACGGATCGGATCGCGGCGGCGCAGCACAGCATGACCGGCTCTGCTATCAGCAAGGCGGTGTGCAAAGCCACCACACACGAAGTGAGCGGCCCTAAGAAGAAGCACCTGGACTGTGAGTATAAATATAGATATATATGATCCTCATTGGATGCGTTTCTATCCGCCAGTCTCCATTCTAATTGGTGCCCAGAGGCGTAAACAGAAAATGTTTAGAAGGGTGGCCAATACCCAATGTACACTGAGGGGGGCCTAAAGTAGATAGGCACCAAAACCTCAGGGTCAATCTACTCCGTTCCAACAGGAAAATTAACAAGCAAAACATCCATATTTTTTCTAAATAAAGACAAACTATACTTTCGTACATCCTTTGCTAAAAAATAGACGCATATATTTAAACATCTGTACAATATAGACACCCTAGATAAAAGGTATAGTGGATAGTTTTGAGTTCTGGGGTGTAAATCTTTTCCAATGTCTTTACTTACCTACATCAATCAATAAACATTCTGCATAAAATTTATATTTACAAGCATGAATGTCTACATAAATTGATTATTTGATAAGTTTTTATTAAAATAGTTATCTAATTTTGTCTTTACCCCATATAACACAAAATCTTCTGAAAAGAGCAGGAATTCTGTACTTATCTTTGATGTTAGTATATTGATGTTTATAATTAACCACAAAAAATTAAATGTTTTGAATATTCCCCTTGAGAGAATTACTCCTGACACCATCTGTATTCAAGGGAAAAAACTGGTAGGGGTGGCCAATGGTTGGCTAAGGGTGACCATGATCACCCCTGGCCCCCCATCTAGCGCCGCCCCTGGTGCTGCCATGATTCACGCCCTGCTGGCTGATCACTGAGCTCATTGGAGGGCAGCAGATCATCTACACTGATCCATAGCTTCAATGTGCTGACCCAGAAATCTTGAAATTATCAATTATACACTGATCATAGGCGGATCTAGACAGGGGGCAACGGGGGCCAGCGCCCCTGTAGATCATGTCCTGGCTAGTGTGACCAGACGACCTCTTTTTTTCCGACATGTCCTACTTTTCATACCTAAAGAAATGTCTGGGGGGAATTTCAAAATCGTCTGGGAAGCTCCGTGGGGAAGTTGGTTTATAGTTGGATATTAAAGCTCCGCGGAGTCGGCGGGACCTAGCAAACGACTGAGGGACTCCGATGTCGGCCAGCGTCCCTCAGCTGCTTCCTCCTCCCACACGTGGTGGTGCATTTAGGGACTGTCAACAAATCTTTGACCCAAGCACTCTTTAGAAACAAAAATCTATGAATTTTTTAATTGATGACCAGCTAAGATTAAACTAATATAAAATCGTGCCAACAGATAACATATGTAAGGCACACCTGCTTTAATGCAATTTTAAGCTATTTTCAATTTTTAAGATATTTTTAAAGACAAAGTTGGGATTTTTCTTCAATAGCGTCCAGGTCATGTGACCCACCGACTCAAATTCTTAGTGAAATTGTTCTACTACATTAGCCTAATGAGGCACACTCTTTTTTTATTCAATTTTAAGCCTTTGTATATTTGTGGGCAGGCGGGGGGAAGCATACGTCACCGGGTGGCGTTCGGTTACTCCGTCACCGGGTGGCTCCGGTTCGAATGCCTGGTCTGGTCTAGTCAGCGGCCCAGCCCAACTTTAAACTTAATACTCTGAGCTCTGTGAAAGCTGCTGCTGCCGCAGTGCATGCTGGGACAGCTATCAATCTTAAGAACAGACAATTCTGCTCTGATGCATGCTGGGTAAATAGGGAGGGGTGAGAACAACACCCGGCGACTTTGTCCGTTCTCGGTCTGCTGTTCTTGTGAATTGGAACAGTACTAGTGCTGAGGCTGATGACGTTTCACGAGTACACGACCACGCACAAGTACACATTGAGAAACGGCCCTTATACTCAAAAAAATTGTAATGATGATATGCGCTGAAACCGACATGGTTACTGATAGGTACTTTGGATCTATTTCTTTTTTTTTTGTTTTACTAAGTATTTAAAAACAATAAGGCGATAGCTTCAGTGGGATTGAGATAGGATCCCTTTTTTCAGCTGCTAAAGGTTTTTTTTTTTAAACAAATATAAAAACAACTAATTTTTACAGCTGAATCTATCAGTTTTTCTTGAGTTCTAATTCAGATTTTATAGAAAACTGTCATTTTAACTCAATTAAAGTGAAAAATATGTAAAATTCCTAAATAATGAATATATATTGAGCTTAAAAGATGTAGAATTTTAATTAGTGTTGCGCTGATGCCATTTTTTTGGCCCCGATACCTGGCTGTGCAGTATTGGCCGATACCATTTGTTTGAAATTGATGTGTGTGTATATATTAAGCACTGCAAACTACTGGGATGTCAAATAATTGCCATCATGGCTTTGTCAAGCTGCTGCCTACCTTTGTGAAGCAGGAAAAAGACTAATACAAAGAGAATCCAGTAGAACTTTTTATTGCCTACCTGGAATGGGGGACAATAGTTGAATAAACTTTTGGCTTTCAAAATGGTATCGGTGCGCTAATTGTTGGTAAGTTTGTTTATAATTTGCACTTTAGTTGGATGCCACACAGCATGCATGTGGTGACAGTGGGGAGAAACTCCGCTCTTAACAGGTCTGTCCCTGCTAAAGCAGTCTGCTGCACTTATAATCCTTCAGTGGGGAGGGTCTAATATCCTTCCATGGTAAAAGATTCTCCTCCCGGTCACTTGCAGCGCTTATTGCACATTGAATATGATAACTTTTTGTCTTGGTGACTGTTGCAGAGCTAAACACCAGACGCAGATGATATCTGGGGAATTAATCTATTCAGGAAGTCAGCCTGCAGATGAATGTTTGGTCACTTTTCCTTTCATTATTATGTGCTTTTTATCACTGTTAATATTTGCAAACTGACCCTTTTTTCATCTTTGTTGTGGAGGAAAGTGTGCAAGCCTTCTTTCAGCCAGCTGATTGGCCAGGTGGCGTGTGAATCTTGCTCTCTTTATCCGGACGGAGCCCCGTTCTACTAGTTTAGACGGAAATTATGAAGAATCCAGATGGAATTCAGATCTTCTCAGTTGCCTCCAACCCCGGCCGTCTGGTTCTCTAAGATGTTTGTTTTGACAACCAACATGGGTGTTGCGCCTGCGCAGGTTTCTTCCCTGCTTTGTTGTCCACCGCAGGTAGTTCCTTGTCGACATGGGCGGGGATTCTGTCACAGGTGTTAAATCCACGCTGACACGCGGCTTCCTTTGGTGTTTCTTACGCTTCTGGCTGAGCAGATGCCTTCCCCTAAATGCGCCTCAGAGGGAAGAAGATTAATAGGTCGTTTGGAGGCTGTATACTGAACAGATTGGTGGTGATGGAGGTATAGAAGGTTTATAAAGGACATTCGATGCTAAAAGAAAAACCCTCTGAAGCTTTTGACCCCTCAAAAACCATGCATTTTCATCAGTTATCTATCAGACGTTCAGAGGCACTGTTAACATTTAAACTGATGCACTGTTGAAATGGGTGAAACTCTTTTTGACCAATCAGAACTTGGACTGCTGAAGTGCCTCCAAAACTGATTGGTTGTTTAATTTAAAATTTTTTACAACAAAAATATGGAAGAAAGCAATTGGTTAAACTTTCTGACCAAAACTTTTCTTCACCCATCATGGGCCGTCCTGTATTTGCCACCGAAGTTACCGTGCAATAACCAAAAAATAGACCAATGGATTCATTGAATAGAGGCTGAAACCTAACATTGTCTGTCCTCGATGTGACGCAATTAACGTGTTTGGTTCTGATTCTAAAAACGGAGCGCTTACCCCGAAATCCCACATCCTCCGTCTCCCCTCCGCCCCGCTGCGCTCCAGACCTCCTGCGCAAAGCGAAACCTAAAGCCTCCGCTGTTCCTCCCATCTTGCTCCGCTCTGAGGAGAGCATACGCTTAATTTAATATGACATATTAAAAAAATATGTTCAGTTTCTGCCCAAATATTTTCTTAGTTGTGGATTTTTGTAACGGAGAATGGGATCATACAAAATAGCTTTTTTTATTAACTGTTTGTTCCTACTTCCAAACTCAGCATCTCTTCATCCATTCCTGCAAGAAGAAGTTTATTTTAACTGGATTTGATTAAACCTTTAAGCCCCTCGATATAAAATAAATATTTTGATGCAGATGAGAAGTCTTCTTCCTGGTCTGTTAAAGTACCAACAGTTTGCATCCAATCTTTTAAATAAACGGTGTTATTTTCTTTAAATATATAGGTATTATGCTCTAATTTGTAGTTACCGATCTGTCGTTACTATATTTTAATCTGACAAACCGGATCTTCTCGCTATTCTTTTCCTGTTTGGTGCGATTGCAATAGCGGATCTTGACCTGGCCAGATAAGAAAAAAAACAAAAAACGGTTCGGTTCCATATTTTGACTGTGGAACAGCTCTCATTGATTAACATAACAGAAAAGTACTCCACAAGACGTACGTGAGCGGGGCGGAGCTTTGGTGAAGTATGTGGAATCTGAGGGTTACTCTGCTACTGCTGACCGCTCTTTAATCAGGAGGTTTAATGTAGCAAGAATCTGTATTCTGTCTGGACCAATGAAGGCTCAGTCCCACTAAACTGATGATGAGATCCACCTTCAATAAACGGTTCCCCAGAGCAGCTGGCTTTGCTTTGAGTTGAGCAGAAATGAGTCTGAACCCAGCTGTCACCTAGGAGACAATATCTACACCCATACAAGATCAGTTCACTCTCTACTAAAAATGAGAAATACTTATGTTCATTATTTGTTGATAAAAGAGAGTACAGTCTATGTAAACAGATACTTGGATGTTCTTTCTGTCTTTAGGTTTTAAATTTAAAGCGTTTAAAGATGGATTTCTTTCAACAACGTTTTTTGTTTTACAATATTGATGCGAGTTTATTTTATACGAGTGGCGAAGAAGCATTAAAACCCAACTGTATAGTACTGGCTCTGCTTGATATCAGCTTTAGCGGTTTTAATAGTAACTATCTAAAAAAATAAGTTAGCATGAAATTAAGCTAGTTGCTTTTTTATCTATTTAAGTATTTAACTATTTCCGCCTTTATCCTAACTGCTGTAAAAAGGTTTAGG